ATCGATGCGCGTACATGCACGGTCGCGTACGTAACCATACACACACGCAGCGGGGAACTTTCTCCGGCGCGCACGTGTTGCGAGCAACTCGGTCACGCCGCACCGCGAGTTCTTTTCGTTCGGTGCTTCCCGGAATGGACGAACCGAGGCGTGTAACGGCCGCTTCATCTCATGAAATTCAATCGGGATCTTCGGCTGGGATCGAAGAATTTTTGAAGGACGGCGCGGCCCGGGCCAAGTCGATTCCACGGCTTGCTGGCTCTCCCCGTTAATATGTACGAGCCGGGCCGTTCCGATGCCGAGATTCTTGATCGAGTTCGCGAGGGCCGAACACCCTGCTATAGAAGTTCGTGAAAGACCCAATAACAACAATCCCAATTCCCTCTGTCGACGAACAGAGTCGATAGAGGGTTTACGAGGAATTCGGTGAATCGTTCGGTGGATCGTTCGTAAGAAATTTCGCGTCGGTAGTTTGATAGAGGTTTCCATTGGTCGATGTTCCGCCTTGATCGCCAGCCAACGATACGAGAATCGCAATAACGGAGAAATGGGGATCCCTTAATAGCAGGTGGTACTTTGACGCCGCTCGCGCCACTGACGATGCAAGAACTAAAATTGAGCCAAACATTGGACGGGGCTAACATGTCTCCTTACCACACCAGCGGTGAGTTCGCCACCTCTTTAGTTTTCTTACGGTAGCAAGACCCGGTCACACTTGCGCCTTGTCGCCCGATACGATTCAATGCCTCGGATAACGTGAACATCCAAACTAATCCAGTTGCCGATCAGTGTGCACTGACCATCCGAGCGTGTTTCAGATTTGTTTGAACTATCCTCAGTATCCTCTGTCCTACACATGCATTCCGTGAAGCAAAAGATATGTGTACAAACCCGAACACCAAACAAAATCCACAAATCCAAAGAAGTTTAAGATCAGCAAAATATATTTCATAGTTCATTCATATTCCTAATTTCATATACGAAAATTCAAACATATAAAACAGAAACAGCTTCCATTTAGAATGTCACTTCCTAGCATCTCACGAAGAAATCAAATGTGACAGATCCTCAAGAAAAGGAATTCTCATCCCAACTCCTACGGAAGACTAAAATAATCCGAGACACTATTGTGCCCGATATCCTCGCTTAGCTTCTCACCACAAATCATTCGACATCCTTCGTCTCCGATCCTCCCTCAAACGTAATATTCCTCGGACGAACGTTACGAATCCGCAAACAAAAAGGGAAATCTTCCTCCTACGATTCTAGAAAGCCTAGAACATAATTGCCCCCATTATCCCTGTTGAAAGAATCGCATGTAGGTAATTACGGTCAGGTGAAGCAACTCTCCAAAGAAAAAGTCCGGCGTCGCGTGTCGTTGAGTTTCACCGACGGACAAATTCCATGTGCGACCGTTCACCCCTCCGCCATCCCCGTTCCGCCGTTCCAACCACCAAATCCTGAGAAAAATTTAATTAAGCTTTAGACGTAAGGCGCTGATCGTTAGCTAGTGCTTGACTCGAATGTCGTGTTGTGTTGTGCATGGCCATAGCAGAGAGCAGTACCGTCGCAGTGTCGTATGTGGGGGTGGGGGCCGGTGGGGGCGAGCAAAGTCCCCCGATTTCGTTGCAGAACGAGACAAACGCCACCCCCGCGGCCCCAAACACCCCCGGAGGCGATCCCGGACTGACGGTCTTGCAGCCGCCAGTTTCTCAGCCCCAGGTAGCGTCTGCGATACCACCGTACTCCACGATGCTCCCCAGTTTCGGACATTACGCCACCGGTGAGTACCGAACAGACACACACCCCCTGTATCATCTAAGTATCGCACAGCCGACCCTCGTACCACGGGGTAAGAGCAGCTTGTGACCTTCTGCGGGACCGTTCCACGCAAAGGGTAAGTCAGAGCCCTATCCGACGGCGCCTGACTTACCAGCTTCGCAGCTAGGCTGAGAGCCGTGTGTAGATAAACGCAAGCTGTTGCTTGCTGACGAGATCGTTTTCTTTTTTTTCAATTTTCATTTGTTCGGTGATAATCGTTTTGTGAAGTGTCGGAGACATTGAAGAAGGTGGTTTGTAAGTTTGTATAGACGTAAAGAAGGTTTGAATTATTCTGCAGTTATTTAATTATCCTTTGGATTTCTATGAAATCTGTTGTATCATTGTAAGAAGTTATCGGTTATTACGAGAAAGATAAATTGAGTTGTTGATTTTGGGAAACTGTTAATGCTATCGGCACCTATGTAAATGAAGAAAAATTGTAACTGTATGAGCCACCTTTATTCAACACCCCGTGTATCAAGCTCCTTGAGGTTCAATTGACAGAAAAAGACGAATCCATTGAATGCCGCAGTTAAGTTGCGATAAACTCGAGCCACACTTTCTAACTTCGTGACTGGTCGGAGATATCCGATTCTAACGTTCCTATTATTGCTATTTGTTTAGGTGGTGGTGACTACGCGTACAGCGCGGCATACTCGCAATACTCGAGTGCGCCGTACAGCGGCTACGGTTATGGAGCAGCGACAAGCGGGTTGCTCAGTAAGTAAACAGTGAGTATGAGTGCCGATTAGATTAGGGTCAAGCGAAATGTCAAGTGTTAATTCATTGATAGGCCACGCGAGTCGAGTCGAGTCGAGTCGAATCGTACCGAACCGAACCGAACCGAACGAAACGGATCCGTGTCGATCGTTGACGCCGATAAGCGGCGGTCGGCCGTCAGATAACGAAACTTCCGATAGGATCGGATCGAACTTTCTAAAACTGAAGAAACCCAGCCCGGTATTTCATTAGGTTTCGAGACAGCCGGGGATAAGATCGGCGCCGCAAAAAGCTCGCGGAATCGCGGACAGGCCGGTTTTCATGCGGCCCACAATGCTCGCCTTTCATAATGGAGGATTGCAGCTACTCTCGTAGATCGCGATACCTCCGGGTGAAATGCATTCGGTGCATAAGAATGAACGGAATAATAAACAATTTTTTATCGGACACGCGATACGTTACCGGCTCGTTCCTTGTGCGTGACGTAACGGCGCTCGTTGCACTCGACACCGGTGGAACCGAAGTTTCGCAGCCGCGAGTTTAACTTTTCCCCTTTCTACACCGCGATTTCGCAACCGCGCGAATACGTTGCCGAGTCGATCCAAAAATAGTTTCGGCCTGGAAAAATTGAAATTGTACCGTGAGCGTTGGAGCTAATAGTCGAAAACGAAATTGGAGTTATGTCGCGACATAGAAGACTCGAGGTAGACATCGGGCTGAAGATTTTTCAACGGAACAGAGTTCCTCTTGTATTAACGTACAAGCATAATGGATCTATAAATTACTGTCTACATCTGATTATTCGCTTTCATAGAAAGTGCGTTTGCCATTCAACTTTCGTGATCGTAAAATATAATTAAGAGGAAAACATGCAAATCGCTTCATAAATAGTAGCTGATGCGGTAGCAGTGAATCCTTTTACCTTCTTCGAAAGCAGAACATTATGCTCTAAATTTCCTCGCGAAATAGATTTCTGTATTCTTCGATTCTCCCAAGTATTCTTACGTCGAATATTATCGCTGTTTTAAATTTCAATCTTCCCAACAGTGGAACTCGGTTGCCAAGAATAAGAATAACTATAATACACCTCAGCCAGATGTTGATGTTCCGCGCAGTCGAAAGGTTAACAGTTCCCAGAAAACAAACATGGCTATCCAGTTCACCGTGCAATTTCAATGCTGCAACCGGTTACGAAACAACATAGTACGCGTACAGTTAAAAACGCGAACACCGTGTGCAATGGCTGGTCAGATGATTAAAGGGTATCGCGCGGTGTTGTTGCAGACTCCACGTACTATTACTGTAACGGGGACACGCTGGCGTCTTCCCACAACAATTCGCAACAGGGCGGCGGATGTAACAACGGTGGGCCAGACAACAGCACGAACGTGGCTAGTCGCTCGCCTTTGGCAGCAACCAGGGCGAGCAGCGGCGCTAGCGCTGCCTCGCCGACCGGAAGTGCGTGCACGAAGCCGGATCACACTTCCACGCCGACGGACCTTTATCTGGCCTGATTGATCGATGGTACAGGAGACCAGCTCCGGGCAGAGTGTTCTCCTGGAGTGGGAGCAGCAACCAGCGACGATGGACGCCATATCACGAGGAGCCACGCTGAATTCAAGCAATGATCTCTTTTCCTTTTTCCACCGGCTCGGAGAACGGATTCTAACTATCCGATCGATATTGGGGAATACGATCGGAAACGATGTCCGACACATTAAAGCGATTTCAAGCGGAGACCAGAGGGGACTGTCAAAAATCGGCCGACGGCCAGACACTGGTGCGCGCCCGACCGAGTTCCTCGCACGATCGTCCACACGGAAGCTGTAAATCTAAAAATTGTCGAATCCGGATGTTGAAAACATTTGTCGAAAGATGACAATCGAATCCCGAGAGAGATAGAGACTTGGACAAGTTGTTTCACTTGACAATGGATATCGGACGATTATAAAACGACTGTGGCGCGCGACCAAGCACGACACTCAGTGGATGACGATGACGATCGTGTGCGGAGTACTGTTGACGTCAGGAGCATCGAGATCGTGGACATTGTCGGGAATAATGGCAATCGTTGTCAGCAGCTGCGCTGGATGAACTCGCAAGTTCGCGACGTCGACGACGTAACCGAACAATCCGTATGCGAGCGGCAACGGCTCGAAGTGTCTGGCCAGCGGCCAGGGCTAGAAGAACAACGCTGTCGAGTCGCGCGGTTGGTACCGCAGTCTTCACCCGCGGCTTGCGACGGTGCCGGTACTCCGTAGAGTGCGCGTAAACCGTAGGTAGTTTAATTTAACGATCCTCAGTTAGAATAATTCCAAGAGTCGGTCGTCCCTCCAAATATGCCCGAGCATTCCGATGAACGGTTTCCCCGGCGACGGGACCGGAAACGCTGTAAAGAGGAAAAAGTAACGAACGAATACGCGGTCGGGCACATTTGTCATCGGCGGCGTTTTAGGACGTGTACATATATACATATATAAAATTGAAAAAAATTCATATATATATAAATATATAAATATATAAATAATACATATACTCGCGTAAACGGACAGAGTCAACTGCCGGAGGCGATGGCACGTTCTTTCTCCTAAATAAGCACGACGACTCCGATCCCCATCCCCCTTTTACCCCTGAACCCCGTGTCCCATCCAGGAACGACATAGAGTATATGGTAGAGACGTAATCGATAAGTTTATTGAGATTTTTAAATCAGGAATCGACGGAACGATCATTAACTGTTAAGGATATTATATATATTTTTTGTAGAAACCAAAGACCACAGACACCGATTGCCGAATACGAGGGTTGCGTGCGTCGCGTAGCTTTAGGCGAGTGCACAGTTTTTAATGGCGGTTTCGAGCGACACGTTTTTTTGGGAAACCAGGCCTTGAACGGCAGCGAGAGCGTTTTGCGTGTCGCTAGTTTAACGTTCCCGACAACTCTATCACGAGTCTCATCGAATATCTTCGACGTTGCATTTTGAAAATCTAAGATGTTCAATCCGCGGCAGTCGAATAAAAATTGTACAAACGTTGTCCAGTCGAATCGCGGTGAAACAAAAATGTGACCGTGTTTCTCTAATACAATAATGGTTACGATGCAGCAGGCGTTGCACGCTGCGTATAACTGAGAAGTTCCATTCGCGTAACTAATGTATAAATAGCGTAACGACAACAGTAGGAAATGTGTGTATTAGTTGCGCGTATGTGGCGATGGAAATGCGCAAGAAAAAGCGCAGCGTGCGAGGCGTAGCTCGAGCCGAAACGGTACTTTAAATACATGCGATTCGCAAAACGCTCCCGCCAGTTCGAGTCCGAATGAACGCTCCGCGAGCGAGCGACGCGCTGGATCGACGAGTCGAAAACAATGAACGAATTTAAATTTGTAATCGAGAAAGCGTGAAAGACGAAAACCGAGCCGAGTGCAAGACGATCGGTTCGCATCGAGATTAATGACGCGCGAAAAGAACCGCAAAAAGTGCTTCCCACTAGCCGGAACCTATGCGCATTCGGATCGCAAATCATCCGTGAATATTCGCGAACTCGTGACAAACTTTTTCCTTTCGGGTCCGTCTTTGAAATGGCAAAACAAAAAAAGAAATGTAAAACAAGAAAGATCCGAGCAACGGACAGTTACCTGACGGGCTAATCATCGCCTCTTCCCGCGTTCCGTCCAACGCCTCCGTGCTGTTCTCCGGAAGTCGCGTTGCTTCCGGCTTCGCGTCGTGCGGAACGCTCGAAAGAGGCAAAAAACTAGCCGCGAAACCATAATTAACGTCCGGCAACGGCGCACTTTAATGAGAAGTTACGTGCTCGCAATTTCTCGATGATTAACGGGCGAAAATGTTAATTTGTAACCTTAATAAGGAAATTTACGCGCGAGCGTTCGAGCCGCTCGAACCCGT